AGAGTATTTTGGTTAATACAAAAGTTATACATTAAGAAAAATGAAACTAAAAAGCAAGACAAACAATGAACTTTCAGAAAAGCTCTTGTCGCTGAAATGTGAATGGCAAAAACAACTCCTTAGCCGGGTAAGTGACAAAAGTCCCAGAACTCTACAGTATGTAAAACTGGATTGGATAAATAACTATTTTTAATGTGCTCCATTTATGTAAGGATCAAAAGAATCCCACAAGCTTATTCTGAAAAGCAATGTTCATATCTAATTCCCAGAATACTATTAATATCTGCTCCTGCTATCTAATTGTATTTCAAAATTTTGTCTTAGATTCCAAGAAAGTCCTATCCAGGGACCAATACATATAAAAAAGAGAAAACACCTCTAAGCAAGGACTGTTTCCAATCAACCTCTAAATAAATAAAAAAGCAGATAAATCGGCCTGCACAAACACAGCCACAGCCCATGGATGGGGCTTATCCCAAGCTAAGGCCCCCTTCAATTTAACGCCAACATCAATTTATTACCTAGCTGGGTTTGATTTTTATATTCCTTAAATTTTACTATGCCAGAAGTGGGGCCAACAAAAGATAAAGTACAGCAAAACTCTAACAATTGCCTCTGTAATTTCATCTCTGGGCTCCTTTTATGAGTAACCGCATGCTCAGTTTTGATCTCCAAGTAATGTCACAGTAATAAAAACCAAACGAACTCTCCTCCCTACACACACATATCCTACACCACCTGATAAAATGCAGAATTAGTTCATTACTGATCCTAATAGAGATCATTACCTCAGCCATTTTCTCCACAGGGCTGCCAATCAGTAGGTCCAAAGAAAGACAGAGAAAGCTCAAAGTGTGTTAGGCACTTTGCCCCATTTCAGTCCCTTTCTTCAGAAAATTGGTTTGCTCCAAAAGAAAAGGAGAAAACATGGACGGGTCCTCTGAGGAAAGGTTTCCCAAGGCCAGTGATTTGCTGACATGTGGGGAGTTATGATGTTATGAGAACAGCCCTGATGACAGCGATACTATCCCACACCGCTCCTAGGATGTCCAGAACAATCTAAGGGATAATGATAAACTTCATACGGGAGGGGAGAGGGCCCCGCCTGACACAACCAGCTGCCAGGCACATGAAAGAAACAATATAAACTTGATTTAAATGTGGGATCCCTTCCAGAAGGCTTAATTATCTATTGTATTACCACATTCCTGTTATTCAGCAGCCTCTTCTGTCTCCGATGTAAATCCAACTACAGTATTTGTTTGGAACAAATTCAGGGAAAACTCCAAACCAACCGACCCAGTCATACAGGACTCAGTTAAATAGGGAACACAGTTATAATACATAGAAGTCTCCTAGGCTAGAAAATATTTCGGTTGTCTGCTAACTTTCAAGAACGTTGAAGACAGTTGAGTCCCGTTTTAAAACACCCATACCTATAGCATCTTGATGTCTTCTATGACATGATACAGCTTCATCAATTCTGTAAATGCATCATCCCACCTAACTAGTCATCCTTCTTTGATGACATGTCATGAACAATAAAGATCACCTCTAGTTCTTATTTTCTAGACATCCATAAATCACTTTTCTACACTTCAGCCTTAAATGCTTATTTGTTTTGGATGATCAGAAGATAAATTTTTCCTAAGGGTGTCATAGTGCATGAGGTAAATATTTAACAAAACACCCCGAGGTCTTCAAATGAAGGGCTGTGTCTAAGATGCCACTGTCAATTCAACTTTTTTTACTTAGACAAATTTGGTGTTTGACATCAAGAAGGTGTAACAACTATTTGATAGCATAGAATTTTCACTTTTTAACTAGCTGCCTGACACCATGAACAGGCATCTAATAATTCAAATGCAGAACTGCCCAACAGCCAGAAATGCACATACAAATGGCTAAAATAAATATGACAAACTCACTTTGTTAATATTATGTTTATGACCTACAGTGAAGCCTGCACATTAGCTATATGTTCTTCCATTGTAACGTGTAGAAATAGCATTTAAACTCTATGAATTTGGAGACAAGCGTCCCACCTGAATACGTATTTTTGTATGAAGTTCTCCATAATTTACCACCAGCATCGTCCAACCAATTTAACTTCCATCTTATTTTCCTCTCCATTTGCGTTGGTTGGGCCTCCAATTTTAAAAATATCCACCAGAAAGGGCAAAATTATGTTTACAAATATATTTCTTAAAGAGCAAAAGTGCTCTCTGTAACTGTTTCATGACTATTATCTAAAACGGAAGTGAATCCCTCTGAAGGATAACTATCTGGTCATTCTGCATAGTTTCTATTCAACACCTAGTCTAGCACTCTAAGCAGAAGAGGCTTTCGAGAAATACTTGATAGTTAGGATAAAACGGATGGAAAAAGTGCTAGGCTATAAGCCTCCTGAAGGCAGGCTCTGAGACTTTTGCTCAATGTCCTCTCATCACCTAGCCAAGCGCCTTACATGTAGAAGCTCCATAAAAGCTTTCAAATAACAGCATTTTGTCTTGAGCTTAATTTAAAACAAACAAACAAACAGGAAAGCAAACCTCTCCTTTCTCGCCTAAAGTACCTACCATGCAGACTAATATCGTTAAAAGTATTAAATATATTGAAACCCCGTTTTGTTAGAAAAATGGGATTGGGATGAGAGAGAGAAGAGAAAAGAAATTAATCTTAAAGAGACAATAGAGGGGCTAGGCACAGACCAGTGCTGATCGTGTGCCATTAGCTAAAGAGGAGAAGCAACTCCATTTTGGACATCTGTGTTTCCTAAATATATGTTAAAATTCAAATTAAAAACCCTCATTGTAACATCAACACCTCTCTGAACAATGAAGCTCACATTCGGTCTATAAAATCTTCTGGTTCTGGCCAACAGCTGGCAAGTTGATCCCTGCAATTTTCCCTTCGCAGAAACAGCTTTGTGAGGGGAGAACTGACCTATTGGGCTAATAAGCCCAGACCGCGCCAAACCTGGAGGCTGAAATGGAAGGGACATTGTTGTGTTAAGTACTTTACAACAACTGTTTCTTCTCCTCTTGACACAGCCTGACTTCCTTAAAGAAGATCTGACTGGCCAGACAGCTGTGTTGACCCTTAAGCCTTCTTTGATTCGTGATTTTTTTTTTTTAACAAACAGAATCGAAATTCACAACCCAAATCCTTTCCTAAGCTCCAATACTTTTGAATTTGCTAGTGTTGTGCCTGAAGGATGTGGACATTTCAGTAACCTATAAGCAGAAAGATGAAGATTGGGTCTCCACAATCCCAAAACCTTCAGATAAAAAGCAAGAGGAAAAAAAGCGAGCAATCAACCAGAAGCTTTGGTGTTACTTGAAGTGGTGTGGGCAAAATCTGCTTAATTACCTAAAAATTGCACTTTGACTCAGATACTGTGACAATAAACAGCCAGCCAAGAACAGACAGAGGCACATCTTCTTTTAAAAATGTTAACCATAATTACCACCTGGGGAAGCGGTCATGCATTTTTTACTTCTTTATATATATATTTCTGTATTGCGCAACTCATCCAAAATTGAACATGTATTTTTTTTAGTGCTGAAAACGTAAAGTTGTCTTTTCAAAACAACAACAAAAATGCCCAATACTGTTTCCATATGGGGTAAAAATCAAGTATACTATGGCAAAGGAGCACTGAGTGGCAGAAAGAATTTTATGTGTGTGGTCACTAGGTCTAATCGCTTTGTCACTTTTTAGTAACCCAGGCAGCATGAAAGAGAAGATATTTCTGTTCCTTCTCGGAGCTTTTTGTTATATTGAGACTTCTCTTGCACACCTCCTTTCCTGGTGCTTTTAATAACGTGAGAGAAACTGCTTTTCTCACACACGGGCCCTTCCTCGATTATTGACATATAGTCTTGTCCCTTTTATTCGCCTGTAACAAATGCGGGATTCTGCGCGTATACGCACGCCCGCTCAGTCACATACACGACTCCTGGTCTACAAAAACAGAGGCCTTTTTCAGCCACTTTTCTTTCATTCAATGCCTTGCACAGTGTGCCCACTAACTAGCCATTCTGACAAGGAAAAGCAGTTCCCTCTCCTTAGGTCCACTAAGCAACTCAGGCCCTGCCTGACGAGAACCAGCAAATCCTTCTCACTCCCGCTCCCTGGCCTCATCCAGGCTTTAGACATTACAGAACCCTAGATTCGAAAGAATCCATTTTCTTAAAGATCTGCCTCCTAATTCTTCTCAAATCACACCAGAACGTTCATGTCGACAGGAAGGAACTGAACCTGCTGCATAGCAGAAACGCATACCCAGGCCGGAATTAGGGAGGAAGTGGAGGATGGACGACGGGGCCTCAAATCAGGCCCCAACTTCTGGCCTAATAGCCCCTTGTCCAAGGGTTTTGGAGAAATGGGGAGGTGGAGAGTACGGTGAGAGAAAAGGCAAACAGGGTGTGCGAGGAACTCAGAGGGGCACCAGCGCCGTTCCTGAGCCCAATCTGCTGGGACTCCAGTGGACAAAGCCAAGTGGGAAACACTCACAAGGGACAGAAGTCGTGGGAGCAATACAGCCTCACCGCTGGGGATAAGCGCGCGGGTGGCGCGGACATGTGGGTAAGGTGGAGTGTGAACCGGCGAGGAGACAAGGGCCACTGGCAGCCCGTGGGGCACCCCAGTGAAGGACGGGGACAAGCTTGATGGGGTCGGAGCCCCGACAGAGGAATGTCCTCTGGGAATGGCCACGTCGGGGTGGGGGCCTGGGAGGAGTGAAAACTAGGCGAGCAGACCACAGAGGGGAGCCACCGCTTGCGCTCTGAGGGCCCCGGGCCGTGATTGCGCGCACCCGCGCAGTTCTCCGCCGCCCAGGGGAGTATATAGGATGAGGGTGAACAGGCATCATGCGTCTCTGGGCACGCGGATGCCCCTTGCGCCTTCCAGAAGCGGACAGGAGTAAAGGAAGACAAAGTCTCCCGCGCCCGCTGATGCCTGTGTGTGGGGCTCGCTCCGGAGGCGCCGACACTTACTTCTCGTAGTCATATTTGCAGTAGAGCTTCTTGTCCCGGTAGAAGCAGGTGGTCTCCAGGGGCTCTTTGCAGGAGGCGCACTGCACGCACTGCTCATGCCAGAAGCTGTCGTTGAGCCGCAGCAGAAACCTGTCCGAGATGACCCGTTGACAGCCCTCGCAGACAGACTTGGGGCTCACCGCTCTGCCTACGGCAGCAACAGACGTTCGCGGGTGAGCTGCGCCGGCCCAGCATCCCGGCCAAACCCGGCCGCGGGACGCGCTCTGGACCACTCCACACCCACGGATTTCCCTCGCGCCCCCCACCAGGGAAAGCCCCCTGCCAATCAACCAAGCTGAGGTTTGGAGGGCAGGGAAAAATCAAACCAAGTGTCGTTTCTAATAAACAGGGACCATGTGGGAAGGTTTAAATTCCACCGGGGGAGAGGGCGCAAATCAATAAGAAGCCTTAGTCAAACTTGCCTAGGTATGAGCGCAAACGTAAGCGCATCCTGAAAAATGAGACTACAAATAAATTTGTGCTCCCCGATTTATCACGTAATCATTAAATCATTCACTATGCTTGTCTGTTGATTACTATTAGAACTGTGTGTAAAAAATTTTTTTGTTTGGTTTTGTCTTTTGCTAAAACGCAATTCTGTTCTATTTTTTTAGGGAAAACAATTTTTTTTTCCTCCTAAAAGGTCCCGTGCATACAGAAAAATACCGTCTCGCCCCAGGCAAACTCAGTATTGTTCAACCCAATGAACCCCAAATTGCTGTGTCTTGGCTGGCGTGCAAATTGCAGATGGGTTCCTCATAATTAAGAAACATCAGAATAGAAGAAAAAAATAAAGAAAAGAAGCAGGGCGCGGAGCCTCCGCGGAGCGTCCTGGCCAGGCTTCCGGGAATCAGGCGCGCTCAGCAGCCAGGCATGAGGGCGAAACCGACCCCAAACCGACTCAGCGCAAACAGGGAATCCTCTTTCCTACCCCGTAGACTTTTGTCTGTCTTGTTCCTTTGGTTTGCAGGGTAGGAGTGCTTTTTTTTTTTCAGGGTGGGGGGACGCTTGGCCGCCTTTGTAGGCACATTTCACAGCTATTTAAAGACGGCCTTGTCCCCTGGTAACAATACCCTTGCTCGTGGCGTCCCAAAGGGCCTGACCCTTCCCCGTTTCCCTGCTACCCTCCTGTCGCTTTCCCCTTGGGGGCTCCGGCCACCGGCTCGTGAGCAAGTCCAGTCACCTCGAGGCACGGGCAGGTTGGGCTAGGAAAAGTAGTGAGAGAGTTCTCAGTTTAAAAATCCTCTCTTCTTTCTGCCCTGCCTCAGCGTCCAGGGTCGCGACCCGGGCGTAGGGAGCGGACGTGGGCCGGGCAGAGCGCACCCCAGCGAGCCGCGACGTCCGCTGAACGCAGATGTCCGCGCGCTGCGCCAGGCCAGCGCCGGCTCCGGCCCCAGCGCTCTTCCGAGGATGGACCGAGTCGGGAAGTTTCCGACAGGGCAGGTGAAAGAGGCGAACGCAGTGCGCGTGATTTCGTTTCATCTAGGGAATGGGGGAGGTGGGATTCCTCTCTGGATACGGTTTCTCCAGTGGGACTGTCTCATCCTCCGCCTTCACCCCGCTCTAGCGGTTCCGAGTGAGGGAAAGAGGCAAGAGGTTCAAATAAAACGAAAATTCTTCCCGCTAAAAAAATTAAAGCACCCGCTCCCCAAACTTGAAAAGCACCAAGACCAGGGTGGGGGCTGGGGGTGGGAATCCCTGGCCTCAGCTCTGGAAGATCCGCGTGTGGATCCTCTCTCGAGGCCCTTGGCTCACCGCTCCTCCGAGATCGCTGCGAAGGGATTGGGGAGGCGGGGGGAACCCGCCGGACCCAAGAGCCGACTCCAGTTAATTAAAGCCGAGACGAGGGCCCCGCCGCGCGGGCTAATCCCCGCGCTGCGCTGCCCACCGGCCCGGAAAAGCCTCTCGGTCGTGCCGGAGGCTGAGATTGGGGCTGGGGTAGGTGGGCGCGAGAAGCCGCCTCGAGTCTGGGCGCTCCGGACCTCGGGTTTCGTATGCTCGCCCCTAGGCCGCCAAGAAGAAGGCGGCTTTTAAGAGATGTCGATCAGCTCCGTGATTAAAAATCCAGCCCTGGGTATTTTTAATCACTTGCCACTCAGCCGCCTGTAAGCAAGCTTGCCCGCCCCTCGTGGCTTTGGGGAATTCAGTGCCCGGGCGCGTGAGGCCTGGGGCGGCTTGTCCTTTGGGGGTAGGAAGGACAGAGAGTGGGCTCAGTTGAGTGCAGGAAGCGGGGCTTTAGCTCCCCTGTTGCCCACCCGGTCTCAGAGAGCTGGGCTCCAGAGCTGGGGCCCGGCAGAAGGAGGGTGCGCCCGAGGCTCACGGCCTGAACACTCACCCAGTAGCGAAGAGAAGGAGGCCGAGGTCTCGATGGCGCCTTGGAAGCTCTCCTCCATCTTCAGGCCGTCCAGCATGTTCGGGCCGGGCCGGGAGGACCTGTAGAGGAGAGGAAACGACGCTTCTGGCGTCCGTGCCCTCTGGGACGCGGCGCCCACAGCCACTGCACTCTTGGGAAAGGACAGAGGGAGTGTCCGGGGTGACCAGAATGAGCCAGGAGGGTAGAGTCCAACCAAGGGAACTGTGGGGTGGGAGGAGAAAGACAGTCACAGCGAACTGCTCTGACTGATCTGATTTCACTCGAAGTCAGCGCGTTATGTACTTAGGCCTCCGCCCCCCAACTGCGTTTCTCCTTCCCCTGCTCCCCCCCCCCAAGTCCCTACCCCCACTCCATCCCCAGTCCCAGGTTTCCCATCCCGAGTCCGACTCCGCCCCAAGCTATACTAAAGTGGGCCCTAGGGACGTCTCCGCAGGAACCCAGCTACTGGGATAAGATGAGGATAAAAGGAGTGGGTGTTTTTCCTCGCGGGGCCGGGCCCAGGCACGCGGGACTCCGAGGTCTACAGCCCGCGCTCCGACAGGCCCCGTTGCGTCCCTCACCTGCCCTGGCCGAGGCAGAGCAAGCGACCCAGAGAGCGTCCCGCCTGCTCTCGGACTCGGGGCGCTGAGATCTGCTGGGGGGCGCGCGGGAGCCGGCGTGCGGGGCGCGCGGGGAGGTCCTCCCGCCGGTCTGCCGGTGCCGGGAATGTCTGCAGGAGCAAAGAAGTCGCCTCGGGGAGGAGCCGTGGCTGGCCCTGCTCACTCTTGGACGCATTTCAAATCAACTTTCAGAAACACGCCCGCCCGAGCTGGAGCCTAGGAACGGGCAGCCTTCCTTACCTGATGGGCGAGCTCGCGCCTCGTGGCAGGAGCGGAATGAAGCGGCCGGACGCCGCGGGAAGCTTCGGCCGGGGGAGGGGTAGGCCCTCGAAGCTGCAGCCGGAGCGGCCGCCCCCGGCTCCGGCGCGCCCGGGAGGGAGCCCGAGCGAGCGCCGGCCCCTGGCTCCGCTCCTTGGCGCGCCCGGGCCGGGCCGGGACGTGGCTGCGGGTGGCCGGCCTTCTCGGGACGTCCTGCCCGCCCGCGTCGCTCCTCAGGGGGAGGGGAGGGCCAGATGCTACTCCAAGGCTAGCAGGGAAGGCAGAGGCCCAGGGTCCTGAGTGCGAGTCGGGCCCTGCTTCGCTGGGGCGGATCCGGCCGCTTCCGACAGGGGCCGCGGCGCTGCGTGCGCGACGGAGCGAAGGGGGTGGGGTTCGCAGGGAGGGGGACTGGCAGCGCGTCCCGTGGAGGGGCCACGGTGCTCTCCTCCGGATCCCGCCTGCGCAGCCCACTTCGCGGTCACCGCCGGGTGCGCCCCTCCGCCGCTGCGACCTCCCGGGCGCGCAAGGTTTCCACCCCTCCACGTGTAACTGCTCCCTCAGGGCGCGCTGGCCCGGCCGCCACCCGCGGCCCCGCTGGGCCTTCGCGGACATCTCCGCGCCACCTGGACCGCGCGCCCGCACGCTGGTTCCCCAGCCGCTATTCAACCACGGCAAGAGACAAAAGCGCCGCAATCCTCACCCGGGCCGCGGAAACGCCAAGAAGCTATTTGCCACGTGTGGTTGCGGGCCCCTGCAGCTCCGAGCTCCTCGAACCCCTTCTTCGTCACCCCGGGGCTCCTGCAACTTCCCAGCTTCCGTTGGGCTGGAAACCCCTTCACCGTTTCAGATGGAAACTAGTTCACCGATGGGGTATGCAGATACTACAGGACCCATGGCAAAAGCTTGAATCAGGCTCCTGGTAGAGACTAGGTGGGATCCGACCCCCAGACGATAAGCCCGGAATGACACTGACAGGCAGTCAGTTACGGGGGCATTCTTGGAGGGGTGAAATGTCTGGGGGGAAATGTTAACTCACTACACCTCCTAACCTTAGCTTACCGTGACAGAACTGTAGCCCCTGCAGGAGCAGAAACAGGGTCTCCCGTGCAGCCCTGGAGTTTAGCACGGTGCCCGGCCCCGAGTGGATACTCAATAAATAAATCATTTATTTTGCACCAGGTTTGGTTACTTAGTTAACTCATTTAATCTTTGCAACACCCTATGAGGTGGAGACAATATTCCAGGTGAGGAAAACGGATCGCAAAGTGCACCCGAAAACCACGGGAAAGTTCCATCCACTGGATTCTCTGGGGACCCCTCCATTTCTGAACTAAACAGAACTGAATTGGAATTACAGGATCTTTGGCAAAGTGAATTTGAGCAGGCCAGATGCAAACATTTTCTATTACCTTCTCCAAGGACAGGATCACTTCCTTATTTCTAACTTTTTCTTTAAAGACAGGACCACTTCCTTATTTTTCTTTAAAAATAAATATTTAAAAATAAATATTTTTAACTTTTTCTTTAAAGACAGGATCACTTCCTTATTTTTCTTTAAATGCTCGCATCTTGCCTACTCAGATTCGCTTTGCCAAAGAACCTGCAATTCTGACTCAGTTCTGTTTAATTCAGGAACCTAGGGGTCCCCAGAGAACCCATTGAATGGAGCCTTCCCGTGGTATGTGGGTGCATTCTGTGCTACGTTTTCCTCACCTGGAATATTGGGGTAATAATTATCTCCACTTCATAGGGTGTTGCAAAGATTAAATGAGTTAACTACATAACCAAGCCTGGTGCAAAATAAATGATTTATTTATTGAGTATCTACTTGGGCCCCCCCCCCCCCCCCCCAGTGGCATAGTGGTTAAGTTCCAGTGCTCCGCATCCATGGCCCAGGGTTCACAGGTTCAGATCCTGGGTGCGGACCTACACACCACTCATCAAACCATGCCTTAGCAGCATCCTACATACAAAATAGAGGAGGAATGGAGAGGAGGAATGGCACAGATGTTAGCTCCGGGACAATCTTCCTCGCCAAAAAAAAGGAAAGAAAGAAAGAAAGAAAAAGTGCTGGCAGCACTTGATCCAGTGTGCTTAGGGGTGGTGACCCCACTTGCAATTAAAAGTGCTTTCTGCCAGTAGGCACAAGCCAAACACCAAATACGACTTCAGAGAAACAAGAGAAAAAGGGCAAAGAGTTTTATACTTTACATGTGAATGCTACTTTATACTTTTCAGGGTGCTTTCACATATATGTTTCTGCTTGATCTTTACGACAAACCTGTGCAGTAGACAGAACAAATAGTTTTATCCATTTTTTTCTGATGAATCTTTGGGGCTTAGCAGGGCTGAGAGATTTCTCTGATGTTGCCCAGATGTGGCCTGTCCCCTGACACCTGTCTTTGGTCCTTTCTGCCACCCTAGGTAGACCAGGGTGTGAAAAAAAAAAGAATTACAAGTATTCTTAGGATAATATATAAAATAGAAGTTACACAAGAAAAAAAACTGAGTGGGGCAAATAGAATCATGAGGAATATTTTTAAATGTCCAGCAGAGTTTTGGTTTCACTGAAGCTCTTGAATTTATGAAATATGTTTCCCTAGCAGTAAGAATATTCCTTTTAGAGAGTATCTTGAAAGTGGGTAGACTCTCATCTGATCTTGGACCCAAATGTTTCAGATGGTCCTTGCATCTGGAAGGCTGCCTGATCTGTGTAGATTGCACAAGCGATCGGTGGGAACGTCTTTCCCCAGCAGGTCCTTGGGCACCTTCAGGATGGAGACTGTGTCTCATAGTCACATTAGAAGCCCTAGGGTCCTTGGTGCAGAGCAAGGCACATATACGTGATTAACAAATACCACTTACTGAACTGATGGACGAGTGATGGGCTCACTGTGGTGGGGGAGCCCTGCAGTAAAGGTGAAAACAGTTTGGGTAGGCCGTCAAAAGACCTCAGTTCCATTCCTAGCTCAGCCACTGAGTCAGCTGGGCCATCAGTTCACCTCTCTGGGCAACAACACTTCCTCTCTGAAACGAAGAGGCTATATACTATAGTCTGTAAGGCCCTCATGGCCCGAAGTTTGTGAAATCAGACTGGCTTCGGACAGTAGGCTGGGCAGTAGAACCAGTGGACCCTTATCAAATGCTTTGCAGAATTCGTCTAGGTGTGACTGGCTGATGTGTCTAAACCAGTAAAGATACACCTTGTTTTGCTTATTTGGAGTTTTGTCTTTTATGATTTGTTTTACGTCTCCCAGTGAACTGGGGATCATGAATCCTGCTCATACCCTGGTATCATTTAATTTTGTCTTTAGCCAACTCAGTGATGTGGATAGGTGGACAGACATCTTCCCATCTGTGAAAGAGCCTCCTGATCATGCCTCATGGTTTTCCAGTTTAAACTCAAATGCGATTATTTCACCTTCTTAATGAAAGAAGTTGCCACCAAGCCACTGCCCAGAAACGCTTCATGAAGAATTAGCCATATTCTCCATTTTATCAGAAAGAAGTATTTTTTTCCTGAGAATTTGTGGAAGTGAGGTAAACACTCCCCCGACTTTAGAAGAGACCTCCCCCGCAAATTACAGACTTTTAGAGTTGGAAGTAACCTTAAAGCTTATCTGGTCCAACTATTTAGTTTATATTGAGTCAAAATTCATTTCTCCAGAGCTGCCACCTCTGGTCTATTGATTGCTCAGGGCTGGCCGTTCAAAATGTGAAATCCTACTTCCCAGACCTACCAGATGTGGGCAGAGCTACCCTCTCCATCCTGTTCACTTTTCTCTGGACCTGCGGCAGTTTTTCTCTTTGTCCCATAAATTATGGCACCCAGACCTGTCGCAACTTTCCAGTGATAGCGTGTTCAGAGCCTCATCGCCCATTAATGTGGTCTGCTTTTGTGTTAGCATTTTCAGGGGCTGCTTTTGACTCATACTGTATATGTTGTTAACAAAACCTCCTCAGTCCTTTTCCACATGAGCTGCTGGTAGGCCACATCTTCCCCAAATTGCAATTGTATGATTGGCATTTGGCCCCAAGTGTGGAAAGTTACATTGATTCCTGCTAAGAGATAGGCAGCTGCTGCAAACATCAGGACTCTTACAACTTCAAGCAGATTCCAAGAGATCCAGGGACTATGTCTTAAGCCTAGTACTTTGCTTTGGGGAGGAAATGCGGGGCCTTTGCCAGGCTGGTTTGGAAGCTGCCACTATTGGAGGAAAACAGGAAAGGACTAATGAATAAGGAGTAATTGTGGGACCCAAAGAGGCTGTGGAGGGACCTCGTAACCTGGGGGTACTTCTTCAAGTGGGAGGTGCCCCTGATCC